CCCCCCCCCCCCCCCCCAAAGAAAGAAAAAAAAAGTATAAAAAGCTTATCAAGAAAGTTGGAAAATGCTAGCCTGGCACATCTTTGGCAGCTTTTTGAACATGATAGGTACAACAAATATCTCCTTTTAATCCGACGTCAAAATATAAGCAAGTGCGCTTTGTGTAACTTTAGAACTCAGGCAAGATTTATAATGTATCTAGAGAGAAATTTTGAGAATGGTGCGAAGTGAGGTGAAACTAAACGAATTCGCTTATTTTTTCCGTCCTTACTCTTCAATTTTAAGCTTTTGACGATGTATCTACTTGCGGACAAACGAACCATAGAACATAACCCTAATGGATGGATACATCCTTGGCTTACTGTTACAATGTCCCCATTAAAATTTATGAGCCGCCATGCCGTCAGATAGGTGTCCTGATGATTGAATTTCTTATTCATAACCGCGAACTATCGACATTGTCGGTGCTCAGTTTTTATAGGTATTAGTCACTGCTTTCGAGAAATCGTTTATGATGTCAATTTTCCGCTCGAGTTCATGGAACAGTTTCATTCAATTTTTTCATTTGTCCCATAAGTTTTTATCCATGTTGATCATAATCAGTTTGAGTCCACGGTTATACGCTGACCGCACAAGAAAAGAGAAAAAAAAACTTTTTTCATTATAATCATGCATGATAGCAGGGGCGGATAGTAAGGCGAGAAAACCGGAAGAATCATGGGTGACCGAAGTGACTTTTAGCTGATTTGATTTACCCCGTTCTCTCGGCAAAAAAAAAAAAAAAAACTCGAATGGGCTGATTCAAGCTTTGATAGGTCGGTATTCCTTGTCACTTTTCCAGGGCTAGATCGACCCTGTTTGTTAGAGAGGCAATATGCCTCTTCAGTAAAAAATGTGTGGCGATATGTGTATAATTTCATACACTTTTATCATATACTATCCATCAATAATAGAAACTTGAATAGAGAATCAAAGTTAGCGTCAAAGTCGCCAGGTTGAGTTTAGCTGTGGATACTTAGAAACAACACACGGCACCAACATGCAATAACTAATGCTGCGTGCTAGATTTTTTTTCTGGCCTACCCTGTTAATTGAAGGCGGACTAGGCGTAACCTCCGTTTACAGTCCGTTGCATCTGCATTTAATTCTTCGTTGAAAATTTGCTGCCTTTAAATTTTGAGTCAGAAAACGCCACCGTTGCGGGGAGAAAGTTTCAAATCCTCCCTGAATTAAAAAGGCTCTTCCCTACTTTTGCGCAGATTCACGATTGCTTTTTCGCTTGGATTTTTCAGAAATTTGGCATATTCATCTAAAAACACGTCGTTAAAATGAAAACGATTAAAAATATCTGATAATCAACCCCCTGCTTAATCCTTGAGAGAGAAGGATCCCCCTCCCCATTAGACTCCCCTTGATGGGATGCTCCTTTATGCCCTCCAGCCCCTTGCTGCATGATGAGATGTCCTTCTTGTCCCTCCTTCACTACACTGAAAAAAAGTTACAGGCTATAAAACAGACCGTCGGGCTCCGAGGCCGAAAGTTCCGGGAGCTGGAGCTATAGTTTCGACTGCTCCGGATGCTACACCCGGAACTTTTGACCTCTGAGGCCGGAACGCGGCCGTCATGTCTATATAGCTCGTAATTACGGCTTCCACGGCCGGAGTTTTTTTTTTCAGTGTATAGGGAAAAAAAAATTTTTTTACCCAATACCGACGACGAGAGAAAATAGATGCTTATGATTTTTACCATTCGATGACTATGCTGGAGCTCTCCAACGCAGTGGCCGATAAGAAGAGCGAAAGTTATGATGACGTAGCTGCCGTAGGTGATGTCAGCGAAGAGGGACCCGGCTTCGCCCCACGTCACTTTGTTGAGAAGCGGCCACTCCGCCGATGCCTTCTCGTTGATGTAGAACAGGCGGGACGCCTCCTCGTCCGACCACTTTTTGTAGAGCAAGCATATGATGCACAGGATCTAGAAAAAGAAAAAAAATGGAACGAAATAGTCGTGGAAAAATGCATGATTTTTCACCGGCAAGGCCTGCGGGCCGATTATTGAAATTGATAAACAAAACTACAGACATAGAAGACAGGAGGGATATGGAGGGATCCTACTGGTGGAAATCGGTAGTTGCAATGGTTACAAAGGAGAAAGGTAATGGACCAATAACGGCAACCCTCCACCATCCCCCCCTTAGTCTATGGCGGGATCCACTTGTTTCAACCAGTAGGATCGCTCCATACTCTCTGTGTCTTCTTTGTCTAACACTTTGTCCATCAATTTCAATAATTAGCCCGATGCGTAAATACAATATTCTGGACTACTCAGTGCTTAGGTATTATTCTATATCAAAAACTTGGGAATCCAACAACTGGGCTAACAAAATAAAAAAATTACGAATAAAAACAGAATGAAAGAAATGTGCCAGTATGAAGATATAAAAAACCATCATCGGATACCGACGAGCTTGTCTGTTGTTAAAACCTGCCAACGTTACGCAATTGCACGTGAGCGCACTTAATTATTCACTTAAAAATAAAAATTTCGCGTGAAAACTATCAAACAATAGGTGTTGAATTAATTAGTTACTCCAATGTGAGTCAGAGCTTTAAAGAGTTCAAATATCCACCGAAGTTCATTTACCATAGGTAGATACAGCTTTGATAAAGTCTAGAGCAAGTATAAGTGAGGGGCTTGGTAAGTGCAGTTTTTGCCATTTCGAGGAATACGTACGTGTTTGAAGTTTCGAAATTACATGTATTCTTATGGTGGAAGGAAGGAACTGACCTATTGATGCTTAAAAATTCTAATTTGGGAGCGAATTTTTCACAGGATATGCATTAAGACTTGAAATCACGAATACCTCAATTTTTTCAGAAACTGCACTTATGCGCCATGTCTTCCAAGCCCCTCAAATGTAATTAAATAGTCTCAAAAATTTCCAACGCAGAGAGAAACAACACGACCAAGCTTTAATTTCAAGATCCGTCTTTGTGTTAATGGAAAGGCGGAAGGAGACGCACTGCCTCTACATCCCCGTGTCTCTTAAAAAAAAAAAAAATCTAGTTTCTCCTATGCGGCCATACGAATAAGTCAAATCAGTCAAATACGGAAACACACTGAGTCCATAATACCTACCAGCTCAACCAGTTTAAGGAAGGCCCATCCATCGCAGCCCCCCATTTTTGATGATTCTCGAGTGAATTCAGACCTAGCGGTTCTCCGGCCCAGGTATCATATTCAATTCAGCTTCATCGCCCGTGGACTTGTGCACTGCTAAGAGAAGGGCAGCTTTGAGCTTCGATGGAAGCGATCATGGCCCAACTCATCTGGTTTTGTCTGAAAACAAGCAATATTTACACTGAAATAATGCATCACAACAAATGACATGACAAGAACATTACGAATCAACACCCTAGTAAAGCTTGGCAGTAGAATCTGTGTTCCAAAATACCATAGACCTACAGCCGGCTGTAAGATTTCCAATAGCTTCTATAGCCGGCAACACAATTTCTTATACCTAGCCTTTTATAGCCGATGGCGATTAAGCAGCAGCCTGGCGATAAAGTATATGCTAAACGTTACTAATTACGGATGCTAGGACTCAGTGAGTTTTTGGATTACCGCTCTCTTTTTGGGCCGTATTATCTTGATTTATTTTGCGAGGAAAGCTCCGTACTTTTGAAGGATGCCTGCCATTCCTACTATGTTGGAGTGCCTTCAATTTCGATACTGTGCAATACCTCTGGTGTGAAATAGTTGCTTCAAGCGCCGTGGTACATACACTGCGACGCGGCGCGGCGAGCGGGCAGCCAGCGCGGAACGCGCATTGGCGCCTACAAACCTAACAGGGATACTTCACGCATTGCGCAATGCGTGAAGTATCTCTGTTAGGTTTGTAGGCGTCAGTGCGCCGCTTTTCCGCTTTGTGTTAGGCTCTAATATTTTGATTGCATTTTGCAAAAAGGAACCACTAGCATTGCAATGTTGCTAAGATTGTGCAACTTCTTTTGTCTTGGAGGAAAAACCCGATTGTCCAATAAAAGTTTCAATTTTAATACTCGATAAAAACTGTAAATTTAAGACAAAAATTACCATCTACATAAAAATTTCATAGTTTTTCACGATTTCCGCAATTTTATTGCAGAAGATGAAGTTGCACAATCTTAGCATCATTTCAATGCTAGTAATCCCTTTTTGCAAAATACAATCCATTTAATCTCGTGGAGTCAGCGTCTTTCAACTCATGACTTTGAAATGTTTGCACACTCTGTATGGATAATTCTCATTTTATTTGATGAAAAAAAAATATGTAGTAAAGGAAAATATGATGTGCGCTTTGTAAATATTAAGGTGATTCCGTACAAACTTAGGGATTTACAAAGCACACGAATTTCTACACAATTTCTTATAGCCTTTTATAGGCGATGGCGAAAAAACAACAGCCAGGCGAAAAAGCAACAGCCAGGCGATAAAGTGTAAAGCCCGGCGATAGGAACTATAGCCCGGCTGTATAATTTTTTATCGCTTCGTGTAGCCCCGCCGTATGATTTTTTCCACTTTGTACAGCCAGCTATATGATTTTCTATCGCCTTTTTCAGTCACTATTAGAACTCCTATGGTATTTTGAGACGCAGCTCCTATCGCCAATTTTTACCAGGGCATTAATTGGGAAAATTACGAAACAAATATGACGTCAGCGACGGATTATGAGTGGGACATAAGGGGCAGCTGCACCAAGCGCCATCGCAATGAGTGATCTAAAATGAAAGAGATAAAAAGCCGTAAACTTTGGTAGAGCCAATAGACAATGCGTTTGAAACTATCGGTAAATATAGTCACTTTTGAGATTCGGCTTCAATTTCGCTGTAAATCGAATAAGCGGATCGGGACGCGCGGAAATCTATTCGATAAACTTCACATTTACCTATATTACTACATCGTCATCTTCCCGCCAAAGTATCACTAGCGCCATGCGACGTTTCAAAATTTCTGCCGCCAATTTTTCTTACCGGGAAATTGTTCAACGAGGCTGTCGGAAAATGTCGCTAAATTTTTTTTTGTCCTGACGATAAAATTCAGTGAAATTTTCAAACAGATATTCAACCAAAAATTTCTTTGTAAAGAATAAAATGGCGGCGGAAATTTTGAAATGTCGCATGGCGCTTGTGATAATTTGACTGGGAGATGATAACATGAGCAGTATTGTAAACCTATTGACGGATATCATCCATTCAAAGTTCGCTTTCAATTTTTCCGCATAGGCAACCAACATATATCAAGGAATACGAACAGCTATCTCATAAAAAACTTCGTTAGAGCCAATATACAATGCGCAAACCAATCGAATATCGCTAATTTAAGATTCTGGTGACGCATAAATTGTGAAATAGAAGACGTTCCGGCCATTGTAGTCCATGAAGCAGCGTGTGGCGCACAGTTATGAATATGTAGGAAGATAAAATTCTCTGATAAAAACTAAGGCAATAGGACCGGAAAGCATATTTTTGCACCATTTTTACATATCAGGATATTAGCCCCATCGCCTCTTCGAGTCGTGATAGCGTGTCTCTATGCAGGCACTCCCTTATAGGCTAGAATTACCAAAGCGCCTTCAATTTTAAGCATGCAACCCGGATGTCCATAGAGCACGAATAGTCGCATCAAGACGTTGTTATCGATATCGTTGTCCTACACTCGGATATTTTCCTCGAAACTAGACTGTTAGGTTATTGTATGAATAATCGAGAGTTGCCAAATCTCCTCGGATTATAAAGGAATTCCTGAAAAACCTGCAAGCTCTTATTTTTTAAAGTTTTAGAGAAGTTTCTATGAAATTCAATTTGATGATTCTGAAAAATCTAATTAAATCTATTGAAACTTCCCATGAAATAATGTTTAATCGGAGGAAATTTGGTAACGTTTGGATCTTTGAACGGCGTATTTCCACCGTCACAAACATGCTTTGGCGGCAGCAGAGCCTACAACGGGTGGTGTAAACTTTACAGAGGTGTATCACGTCTCATCGCTAGATCGTGGTTTCAACAGCAGTCTTTCATCCACGAGTAACATTAACTGATGAAATTGTGCCCCAGAAAATAGAAAAAAGATCGATTCAACTTGATTTTTAACAGAGCGACTTCAAAATATCAGTGTGCGTTTAATCGTTAAAAATGCAAACTTGCAGCGCTATGTTGCCAAAACGAGTTTTGGACTCAAGCTTAAGCGTTCGCTGGAGACTTGCATCATAATTTAGGTTTTGTTCGGGGCAGAATTGAATGAAAACTCCACGCTTTTAAAAAGGAACACTGCTTACACCAAGTTCTTTTCGAAACTCAAAAAGCTCTGCCGCAATTTCTCTCGGAAACGCATGGGTTTTTTTTTCTTACCTAACACTCTTTTTAAATTGTTCCCATGATGAAATTTGTTTGGACGGATCCGTTCATTAATTGTTCACATTTTTTTTTATCAAACACGAAGCTTATAAATAAAACAACTAGCTTATTCTTTTTTTAATGTGGCGGGAACATCTTAACATGACTCAATTTGATAAGCGTCGATGCGCAGCGTGGTGACTCACCTACTTTCGTAGCTTGGCGTTAAAGTCTCCAAAAAGGTGTCGAGGCTATAAAGCTCTCATTATTCAAAAATCGGCAATTCTGTAATTTTCAAGGAGTTTTTTCTTTTCCTTTTTCTTGCCTTATTGTTCTCATGGCCAAAAAATGGGGTTACNGGGGGGGGGGGGGGGGTCGAAGCAATGAGTTTGCTAACGGAAGCGGGGCGTAATGTATGATTTAGAACAAATTTGAAACGCTTCTCGAGGAAAAAAATTCGAGATACCTACGAACTATTCCACCAGTTTTGATGGCTTTCGAGTCTTTTTCCCTGTATATTATACTCAGCTTATCTACCGATAGGAGTGCTTTGCTTGCTTACTATCATGAAATTTTATTTTTTGCACTGCGTTTCAGCAATACCTCAGCAAAAGCTGATGAAAGTAATCAAATCGAAAGGGGCACATCTGCACTTTTTTCGACATTTTTTTAGGCATCATGTGGAGTTACCTTAAAAATTCATTTCGAGCCTAGCACTCATTGTATTGAGCATCTAGATTAGGTAATTTTACTTCATCATAGCATTGCTTTTTGAAAGTTCTACACAGTTTTTTGTCTCCTCTCAAAAATAGCCGTTTTTGACAAGTCCCTTTTTCCAAATGGCCTTTCATTTGAGCAGAGACCCTAATTTTTAAACATTTTCGAGGCTCGCACAATATTGTCACTCACACACAATTTGCCTTCTAAATACACTTAAATTTTCATCCATTTGGGGCTATAACTTTACCAATCTTTTTTCTTCTTCTTCTATGATGATGTTGAAATTAACCACAACTTCGACGAAGATTTGTTTCCAACGATTCGGTTCAATAAAATCTATGTTGTTATTTACGACGCCACGCTTAACAGGTTTTAATTTTCCACTCCTCTCCCCATAGCCGTACTTAATGTCAGATTTTCCACGTAAGTGACTGGTGTTTACTTCTAGCACGTGCCACGCGTAAACCACAATAGTAAATACTCAAAACAAGGGTGCGACAAAATCAGGCGTGACTAAAATACCACGAAACTATCACTTGATTTTTTCCCCCGGCGAACGAATAGTTATAAGTTGGCAATATGAATGTCAATGTTTTTCTATCACGCGCGTCGCGCGTGGTTTTTTTTTTTTTTTTTTTTTTTTTTTTTTTTTTTTTAATGAGTGATGGACTGCACGCGTGAAATGAAGACTGCGCAGAGGTATTGTAAGTTTACGCTATTTTAACACTCTATTATTGGCGAGCAATACGAAGTTAATAATACTACTACAAAAAACCTATGTCAGAAAAAAACGTGCTGTCAGGTGCGGGCAGTGCACAGTTTCTTCCTCCTCTTCCTCCTCCTCCTCGACTTTGCGCGGAGCTACTGGGAGTGAGTGCGTTGAGCAAATTATTATCATCTTCATACGTAGGTAAATTGGTCGAGTAACCTTGTTGCCTCTGGGATCAGCATCGGACGCACCTGAGTTCTCACGCCCGTGACTAATGAATTGATGAATCGCTGTCGTCACCATTCAATTTAACAACTTTCGACAGCTTCAGGTGTAACTGTTAACTGTCCAGATGCACACTGACGTTGTCAGATATGTTGCAGTTACTTCATTGAACCGGTTATTTTGGAAAAGACGCGTAAGCGCCACAGACACGATTTCAACGAGAAAACCTGTACTCAGGGCCGCAACAGTTAGGGAATACCAGGAACACCGGGAAATGTCGGGAAATTTTAAAAAAGTAAGGCATATTTTAAATATATGTAGTTAGGGAAAACCTGGAAATGTCATGGAAAACGAAGGTAAAAATCGTCAAGTCACCTTTGTTTGCTCGTTCGAGTGGGTTTGACGTTTCGAACAACAAATTTTGCCTGAAAACTATTTGTCTTTTTAACAATCTGGCAGAGAATTCCACCGACATGTGTCACGGAAATCAGGGAAATGTCACGGAATTTAATTTTTCCAAATTCTGTGGCAACCGTGGTTTTACTCGATCGCAATGAGCTTGTACATACAAACCGTAAATTCAAAAGCTTTTTTCAGGCCTTAAAAGTTTATATTTTTAAACATTCTTCTCCTGTACGATACATCCTGGTACAACAATGATGATCTATCTAAAAAAAGCCGAATTTATAAATATTTTTACCTGGTGCGAGATTGATTTAGGCATCATGTGAGGGTAGTATGGCGACTCTTGAAAGTAGGCAACAGTGTTATTCCACCATTTAAATGCACGTAAAACAATCGATTCTTGGGGAGGCAGCTTGCCTTACCTAAAATCGATATATTTAATGGATTTAAATGGAGGAAAAACAAGGTTGCCAACTTACAGAATCGCCACTGCGTGAGGAGAGATTTGAGGGTCCGAAAGCTGATGAAGAACCCAAACGAGGGCCCACGAGAAATTTTGAATATTTCATGCGACAATAATTTAAGTGTATTATATATTTCCTGCATCTTTATTTAAAAAAAACAATGGAATGGAAAATTGAAAAAAAACGAGAAAGTAAATATATAAAAAACTTCTCTCGTTGTCTCCGGTCATCGAGGCCCTGGTAAAAATTGGCAGTAGAATCTGCGTTCCAAAATACCATAGACCTACAGCCGACTGTAAGATTTCCAATAGGTTCTATAGTCGGCTACACAATTTCTTATAGCCTTTTATAGCCGATGGCGATTAAGCAACAGCCAGGCGATAAAATGTATGCTAAACGTTACTAATTACGGATGCTAGGACTTAGTGAGTTTTTGGAATACTGCTCTCTTTTTGGGCAGCAGTATCTTGATTTATTTTGCGAGGAAAGCTCCGTACTTTTGATGGATGCCTGCCATTACTAATATATTAGAGCGCCTTCAGTTTCGTATGATACTGTGCAATACCTCTGGTGTGAAATAGTTGCTTCAAGCGCCGTGGCACGCTGCGGCGCGGCGGGCGGGCAGAGAGTGCGGAACGCGCATTGGCGCCTACAAACCTAACAGGGATACTTCACGCGTTGCGCAATGCGTGAAGTATCCCTGTTAGGTTTGTAGGCGCCAGTGCGTCACCGCTCCGCTTTGTGTTAGGCTCTAATATTTAATCTGGCGGAGTCAGCGTTATTCAACTCATGATTTTGAAATGTTTGCACATCCTGTATGGATTAATCTCATTTTAATTGATGAAAAAAAATATGTATTAAAGGAAAATATAATGTGTGTTTTGTAAATATTAAGGTGGTTCCGTATCAAATTGTATGATTTCCAAAGCACACGAATTTCTACACAATTTCTTATAGCCTTTTAAAATCGATGGCGAAAAAGCAACAGCCAGGCGATAGGAACTACAGCCCGGCTGCATAATTTTTTATCGCTTCGTATAGCCCGGCCGTATGATTTTTTCCGCACTCTACAGCCAGCTATATGATTTTCTGTAGCCTTCTTTAGCCGGCTATAAGAATTCCTATGGTATTTTGAAACGCAGCTCTTATCGCCAATTTTTACTAGGGGGTTTATTTTTATGTTTGTAATATCGGCCGCACAGAGCATTTGGAGTATATTCATAACTTATTATTCTTTGTCTCGTTTTTTACTGGAAATGAAATGTAAAATCGAAGGAAACGCGAAAGTAACAAAAATCAAAAGTTCTCTCGTTGCGTGTCCGGTCATCAGAGATTTTTAAATTTGTGACGGTCGCATTTGATCAACTAGAGAATAATCATCCCACTTCGATTTCTAAAATAATATTCATTGTGCTTGCTACAAACGATTGAACAAGCTAGTCCATTAGAATGGAAATATTACCCGAGGAAGTATTGCTAAAAACAAAGTAAAGGCGACCGACTCAACTTTACAAATTTGCACTATGCGTAATTTTGCGAATACTCTCCAGATTGTGACTTTGTTAAGTCGCGTGATTTAATATTACTTATTTTAGAATAAAATCTTCAAGTAAAACGCGCAAAAGAACGAAAAGGCATGACATCAAGGATCATATCCATCGATGAGTTCGAAACGTCGTTCACCGGTTCAATCCAAGGTCATAGAGCGACATAATTAATTGCGGGTTCTTCAAATAGATAACCATTCGTACTCTACGGTAGTTTGTTGCCTATGCAGCTAAGTTGAAGGCGCTACCCTCAAGCGGACGATTTCTGTTAATATGTACACGCATGTTCTATTAGTTTAGCAAAATTTATTGGCTGTTATTTATGTGTCTAGAATGAGTACTATTCGTACTCTCTGCTATGTGTGTTGCCCCTGCATGAAACTGAAGGCTAATTTTAGATCGTCAATACCTGCCATTAGATTAACACCGTCTATCGATTTAATCGAAGTTCATGGAGGATACAATAATAGTGGCTTATTCCAATGGACAACATTTTGCGCTTCCCGGTATATTTTTTGGTGAAATTTAAGGCGACCCTCCAATTGACGACATCTATGTAAAGCTTAGATAGAGCCTCTTTCCACCCCGAACTATTTCGATCAAACCGTTTGTATGGTCGCAAATAGAGAGCAAAAAGTTGCAACGTCTAAGTTTTGGTCGCCTTTTTTCCGACATAGTTCCTCAATACGTACCTATTTAGGTATACAGGGTTATCCTTAAACCGAATTGCGGGCCGATTATTGAAATTTATAGACAAAGCTATAGACAAACACGACAAAAGGGATATGGAGGGATATTATTGGTGCATGGAAGCGGGTGGTTGCAATGAACAAAGGAGGTAGGTAATAGACTAACTAACGGCAACCTACAAGAAATCCTATAGTTAGTACACTATTTTCTCCCTTAGTCTGTAGGAACCACCCATTTCAATCAATAGGATTGCTCCATACTCCCTGTGTCCTCTTTTTTTATAGCTTTGTCGATCAATTTCAATAATCAGCCCGCTGATGAGTCAGACCTCCATGTCCGCAACTTCCGAAATTAGGAAAAATAGAAGCGGGATGATGAATAAGTAATTAGATTTGGCAGCAGCGCGTGTGTCAGAAAATACGATCCTGCCTCCCAGCTCCAACCCACAGCTCGGCGACGAAATGACGAATCTCTTTGCTCTCGTCCCGAAACCAGGACCCAGTCGGGGGAGCGGGAGCGAAGGGATTGCCATTGCGCTCGCCAGTGAAGCCCCTCCTCCCGCGTTTTCGCGAGCGAAATTTGCAGGTGGTCATCCTCTTTGTGCCATCAAATAAAAATCTGCTCTAATATGGTCTTTTTGAAACGACGCTAAAAAATCGCGTGTTTGATCATAACTTGGAAAATGATTTTTTTTGAAGTGTTTTTGGAAATAACTATTCATTAGTAAATATTCGGTAACAACTAAGTTAAGTACCCGGCCATTTATTTATTTATCAATTTGCCGAATATGTATATAATCGGCATCATTGCCCGGCGTTTCCAGAATGAACCTAGAGTTTTCTTTTCTTTTTTATCAATTCTAAGAATCCAAAAATATTTAAATTTTACTAAAACGATAGAATATCCCATCGCCCCCCGCCGCGCTCTCATCTGCTGAGGAGAAATTGCAATTCCTTCTCAAAAGTATCACACAAAGATGGGCCTGCCGGCTAAATCCGACTCCGAGACTCGCGTTAAGATGGGGCGGAGGGAGGAGGGAGGAGGGAGGAGCCTGGCCGGTTTTTTTTTAAAAAAAAAAGCCTGCTGTATCTCGTGTTATCATGCAAAACTCAAAATTCGGTTTTTTATTATCACGAATCACGTTAAGTTCGTTAAAAGCTTACAAGTATTTTTTTCCCCCGCATTTTTTGACTCCGGAAAACATTTACGATGATTCACTGGAAAACCTTCAACTAATCAACACGAACGGAGCTACGTTCGCGAGGAACGCCGGAGATTTAAACGCACGATAAGAAACGTGAAGCACACCTTAATTTCAATTGTGAATATTCGTGTTCTACGATGGAATGAACATTATTATGAATTTTTTTCATTCCATCCATTTGACCTCGTAAGCCGCATGCCGTAGAGTTAGGATTATTTCTTTTGGCATGTTCTCTCCTACTAAAATTAGGAGCACACAGGGAGATCAAAAACATCCTGTCTAGTTGCCGTTAACTACCAGGAAACTTCTGTTAAGACCGATACCAAACTTTTGCCCAAGCCAAAAAAACGTAGGATCTCTTCGCAACGATAGTTCGAGCGCCTCTGTATAGAGCGCAGTTTCATTCAAATTTCTTTTTCACGCGGAATAAAAAAAATTTAAGAATAATCGCCTAAAATACAGAAATGTAGGTTTTTTTTCTTTGTATTTTTCTCTCTTGCTTTTAAAAGGACATAAATTTGAGAGTTACTTACCAAGGCTGGTTTCCTTTCAAAAAGGCTGCTGAAAATTGCAAGGTTGTATCGCAGAATGACCTGCTGTTAATCAATCACTTGTTACACTCAATGCCACTTGGTGAACTTTCTTTCCGAACTCAGGAGGATTAGCATGAAATCCAGTTAGAAGTGGAAAACCTAAATTAAAGTGTTCACTCGTTCAGTTTTTGGGCTCAAAAGAAGCTAATAATGTACGTGCAGAACATAGATACCTATCACTCTGGAGACAAGTATTTCGACTATTTTTACCTACTAATACACACATAAAATGTAAATAAATGAAGAAGCCGGAAAAATCAGAACAATCTCAGGTGTAAGTTGCACGCAAGTCAAAGTTGCACGGAGAAAATCGCGTTATTCCTCTGAACACTTAATCTGATAAATTCCACTTAAGGTCTATTTCATATAAGGGGGTCATAGAGGTTAGTGAATTTTTTTGAAAAAAAATTCAAAATTTTGAACACACCTCAAAAAGGCAATCAAACAAAACAAATTTTGCGCCCCGAAATTTATCACCGAGGAGATTACGCGGAGTGAAGAACATACAAAACACGGGGATTTTAAAGTACCATGTTATGCGGTTCTAATTATGCACTGAATCACCAACAAACTACGAGGCGAGTAAAATCGTTCCAAGTAAGACGAACAGAAAATTTTGAACTAGGAGATCCAATTTGATGAAGCTCGTAAATCTGCACTTTTGAAAACGGAACGGAACTCGATTTTTCTCTCGGAGACTTTCCGGAAATGCAACCACGTTGATACTCGTGACGATTTCGGGAGAACGTGGAAAGCGGTGGAAACACGCGGCGTGTGCGACTAAGTGTAGGATTTTCTTATCACTGCACGACGAGTGAAATTGTGTCAGACGGCAAGTGCGAGCTCCCCATGTCCCCCGACCCCCCTGTCAGCAGTGCTCCCTCTTTCCTCCGCAGTATGGTCATGGTAGCCCGGTGGCCGTCTCGCGAAAGGTTTTCCCACGAGGCGCTGTCATGCGGCTAGTCGTTGATTTTGGACAGAGTCGAGTAAAATCGACACAGAGTACATATAGAGTCGTAATATGTAAGTGGGAGAGCAGGCGGCATGTTCTGGTCAACGAATTCCAGGCCCGGTGTGCGCCGAGCCTCGGTCACTTTTTCGATACATTTTCGATCCAAAATGACGATGTAGAATTCGTATTAATTCCTATCCTCTTTGTTTACATCAGATGGCCGGGTACCCGAGTATCGAAAAAAATCGATCATGTATCGAAAAAATGACCCGGCGTGACACAGGAGTCTCGGAATTCGGGACCTGGAAAATGCTTAAACGTGGCGCGAGCTCTCGCAATTACACTACGACTCTATGTACTCTATGAAAATCGACGACGGGAAGATAAGCTATCTCGAGAAGGAGCCGACAGTTCAAAATGAAAAAAAATTTGTTTGACAAAAATTTCTATTAATTAATATGCTATGAGATTAAAGAGCCGACCGTGAATTGGACTACATTTTGCAATTTGGAACTAAAATGATATGGTTGTTTTAAAACGACGTACGTACCATTAGTTTCTCTAAGCACTTGCGTGTTTTTTACGGATCGGCTAGAAATAATACATCTTAATTTATTGCAAAATGTAGTCCAATTATTATGCGAAACACACTTTTCCCGATTTGTCGACTCCCCTCCCTCCTTTACGAGGCGCCAACTTTTTCCCTCTCATATTCCTCTCAAAGTGCGTTATGGGCCCTAGACACTCCTCTCCTTCCTTCATCCATGCATAATCTTTTTGGGGTGTTACTTCCGTTAACGTGAGCAATGTAAAAAAAAACTTACTATATTTTATTTGCTGTAATACTTCACAACCACTGAAGCACAATTTTATGACTCGCACAACTGACTTATTCATCTAAACGTTATTTTTGTTGATTTTCAGAGAATTTTTTTCCTTTTTATTTTGTCACTTTTTTTATCTTTTCTTTTTCTTCTTTAGATGATGATGGTATTATTAGTCTAATGTTAAAGTGATTCTACATGTATAGCTGTTAGTGTTTCATTTTATGATACCGCTTCTCTATCTGTTAATTGGAGTTTCCTGCGCGTGCGCTAAAAGGAAACACATCGCTTTGTCACAGCAATTTTGATTTATGTTACCATAAATTATTCTATTACAATAATTTGCCCTGAGAATCATACGAACATCGATGACGAAGTAGACGAGGCATTAGCATAGATAAAACTGTAGAAGATTGTCAAGCGCAGGCAAAGAATACAATGTATGGCGTGCGTTTTCTCAAGTAGGCAACTATTCGGGCTCTCACGATGCATTCTAGCCTACCTCCCAAAATGAAGGCGAAATGGCAGAAAAGATCGGTCTCAACCGCATCCCTTACAATCTTGTGCCAATTAAGGTCCCCTTTTCATATTTTCGGCAGGAAACGTTGCATTGATCCTTGTAACATACTCATAAACGTGCGATGTATGTACGATTGGAATGTATGCCAAACAGACCATCGTTCATTTCATTGAATTTCCTTAACGCTGAAAGACCCTGAAAGAATTGTTTCACTATCGTGTGCCTATATGCTTGTTCGCGATAGCATTAAATGTCTCAGGGCAGTGGAAAAATGAACCTCCAGCCGTTGTAAAACACTTCAGATTTGCCCCGAAGTGCTCATAATTTAAGGTGTTTCAAGGATTGTCCGAAAATCGGACAACTATCATTCACCATGGGACACCTATCTCGTTCGACCAAACTATCGGCTAGGTACATTATTTATAATGATATATAGTTGCGCATAAAATCTTCAGCAGAAGTAGTTCTTTGGTGTCATTTTAGAATATAAATTACTTTCAGATTTAAAGAAAGTAAATGTTTTTACTTAATTATTTTATTTTTTTTTTTTTATCTTTTTTTCAACCCTCACGTTATTCGGCTATTTTTATGTGGCAAGTTGATTCCTTTGCAACTGCTGTCAGTATTGCTGTCCAATTTCTATCATTTTTTCTTTTCGTTGGATCATTGTCCCCCCTCCCCCACTACCCATCCACCCCTCTCCTCCAACTCTTCCTCTTCCAGCATTTAGCGTGAGGACCCTCAAACACAGCGATGCTTCAAACACATCGTTTCGAGGATGCTTCTGCACGGAGGTCAACACTCGAGTGTGGATTGCGGCATAGGCGTAATTGGTTGCGTCGCATCTCTCTTCACTTTTCATTTTCTCCGCAGAAAAAGTTTCAACGTAGCTCGTAACTCGTTGCATCAAGTCAACGATCGGCCTGCTCGATGGGTCAGAACTCCGCCGAACACCGTGTTGCCGAGTCGTGCGAAAATTCGATTTTTTTTTCTCTTTACCTCTCACGGGAAATCGGGGGGATTCCTTCTCGATCGGTAAAGCCGGCCGACTGGCCATTGAAATTGGACGTATATCTACCAAACAGAACTATGTGCATTAAGACATAAGCCTTGGGACCAATAAGAATATATGCATGACAGGGCTCACGCATAGTTCCGTTTGTCAGAGACACGTCCATAATTGCGCTGAGAAAAAGCTTAATTTCTTCGCATGCACTACATACTTGCAAATGGACTGCATTTTGCAATTTGGGACTATAAATTCTAGCCAGGTTTAAAAACAACGTATGTGGCATTAGTTTCCCTATGCACATTAGTGTTTTTCCAGAAGAGCCAGAATTTATAGTTCCAAATTGCAAAATGCAGTCCAAATGATCTTGCTTCACGTGGGACGACGCGACGTGGTCGAAGCGTTTACAGTGTAAGGCGGCTGTCACTTACAATATGGGTAGGTAACTGAGCTTAGAAACCACGCACCTCGATTATAGGGTTTCAAACAGTTCGCTCTAATTTCACCTACTTAAAGGTGGAATACCGCCCCCAGTCTGAAGGGGGATCCCAAATTATCCCCCGGGAAATTTCTGCAATTTTACCTATTTTTGGACGCATTTTGAGGTTTTCGTGACCGTAGGCGGATCTAAACACTTCGATCGGGAGGGTGATCTGGGGGGGCTTCCCCCAGAAAATTTTTGAAATTTTAAAATATCTAAGGTGTAGTTTGAGTCAAACATGGATAATTACCAAATCTAAGGGTCCTTGCTTTGTGTGACGTAAATTTTCCATCAATTTTTGCACACCAATCAAGATATTTTAAATATCTTTAGCTAAAAATACTTTCGAATATTGCCACCAAGAGTCACATTCCGACAAAGAGGTATCGTAGAGGAAGATTTTTTCCCACACTACAGAATTTCTGAGGGAGGCAGAAGATACTATTTCCAACTGTAGGGAAGGGGGTAGCTCCCTCTTAAACCCCCTGGCTACCTCATGGATATTTGGACGTATTTATGCTAAAATGAACTGTATGGAAGTGGAAAGATTGGGTGTGCTCGTGCAAGCTGCATAAGAAACAATGTAAAAGTGGATATAGTTCCTTTTGAGGAAATGGAAAATAAAAGGTGAATTTTACATTTAATAAAAAAAAACTGAGGGCTAACTCGTGAGCCATGGTCATGTGACAAGAGCGTTGTGAACAGGGTTCATGAGTTACAGCGCCCCAACGACGAACTCGTCGTCGTCGTCGAGCCCGGTCGTCACCGCTGACGTCACTGGCGCTTTAAAATTCCCACTCATTCTTATGGCCCTCAACTAATGAGCACACCCCATCTTTCAACTTGCACATAGTTCCATTTAGCAAAAATACGTTAATTTCACCTCTGTGAAATAAAGCACAGGTGTCATTGCATGACCACCAACGAAGGATCTCGCGACAGCGATTAGAAAAGAGACAACATCGAAAGGAATAAAATCAAAATGAGATGCAAGCGTCTGACTGTCTGTCATACCCGTCGCGAGGGAAGAAGAAGAAAGTTTCGCTCGTGCTCGACTAAAAAACAACTCAAAAACAAAAAAATTAAAAAAAATAAAAAAATAACGAAGAGAGGAGCACAGAAGGAATCGGAGAAAGAAAGGAATCATATCGCACGCGCGACATTTCTCTCAGCACGCCCCTCGCTCTCTTCTCTCGAGCGGACCGGTGGGTACCGCGGGGGGCGGAGGGGAACGCGATACCCAATCGGGTGCCCCCGACTTTTTAATCGGCTCCTTTCGCGTCTCGCGATTTGGGTTGCCGAAGGCTACCGAAGGCTCCGCGACCCCTCCTCGATTCTCGCGGATAATTAGTCGCCCATCACCCGTGACCCACGTCTGCGTCACGCACCCGAAACCTTTCTGAAAATGGTGGACTCCAACGATTCTGCGGACAACGAGATCGACCTGAAGCTCCTGAAGCTGAGCGAGCAGACCGGCTACGAGATCTCGCAGCAGAATGCCCAGCGGATCCTGGGCCCTCCGGCCGTCTGGAACAGACCGATCCCGACCAAGAACAGCGAGGTCTTCGTCGGGAAGATCCCCAAGGACTGCTACGAGGATGAGCTGTACCCGTTCTTCTCGGAGGTCGGACCCGTCTACATGATCCGGCTCATGATGGACCATAACCAACTCAACAAGGGCTACGGCTTCGTCACGTATCCCGACTTCGAGACGGCGCAGAAAGCTGTGCTCCTCCTGGACAAACGGGAGATCCGCCCAGGGATGAAGCTCGTCGTCATGCTGAGTACTAATCATTGTCGGCTGCTGCTACATAACCTGAACCTGCCACTCGCAGCCAGCGATTACTTAAAAGAAGTAAGTGGGAGTCCCTGTTATCATAAGCCTGTTATCATCTTAACCAGAATCAGTCTAACGGTACCTATTTCGTCACCTTCCAGGCAAAGTATCACAAGCGCCATGCGACGTTTAAAAATTTCCGCCGCCATTTTATTTTTTTACTGAGAAATCGTTGGTTGAATCTGTTCGAAAATTTCACTAAATTTTATCGGCAGCACAAAGAAAATTCGGTGTAATTTTCGGACAGCTTCGTTGAACAATTTATGTGTAAAAAAATATAATGGCGGCGGAAATTTTTAAACGTCGCATGGCGCTTGTGATACTTTGCCTGGAAGGTGACGATTTCACATTGCCCATGGGTGGCCTCAACCGAAATCACCCTGACCAAATTTGAGGGGCTTGGAGGACAAGGTGCATTAGAGCAGCTTTTGCTATTTTGAGAGATACGGTGTTAGAAGTTTCGAAAATACTTGGACCCTTATGGCGGAGAGGAAGTTCAAACTGACTTTTTGTTGATTAAAAATTGGAATTCGGGAGCAAATTTTCCTCAGAATATGCATTTAGACTAGCTTTACTTGAAATCATTGAAAGCTCAACTTTTTCAAAAACTGCACTTATGTGCCTTGTCCTCTAAGCCTCTCATTTGTTATCTAAGCTTCCCATTCTTCTATAATTTTTTTCAGTTAAACTAAGGGTTACTAGCTTTAACGCCTTGAAACTCCAAATAATCTTCCTTTTTAAGTTTCTGTCCAAGTTGGTTTCACAAATGTTAAAAACCTAAGTGAAAGTGAGGCAACTTTTGATACAGTTAGGCTGTATTCCGTTAAATCCGCTCGGTTTTCTCCCGTGTTTATAATTTTGACGAACAATTTTGACGAACTTGACAACTTAATACGCCTCCGTGAGCCTCCCCTACCACTTTAGAGAATGCAAATACTCCTAAAATTGCCTAAGGAACTGCTTAGTTGCCTAGGCAACCTCCGATGCAGTTAGCCTTATTTTTTTCAAATCCGTTCATTTCAAGTTATGTCAGTTCTGATCAGCCTCAAGTTCTGCTGTACTATTTCTAATTACTTTAAAGTAATTTTGTTGCTGTTATAATCAGTTTTAATGTTTCGTTATTTTTACTTTCTCACTGAACAGTCTTCGCGATTTTAAACTGGTTCTGAAACTAAATCGGGAATTACTCATTTTCTACTTGGAAAAAATGTATTGCTCTTGCACTATTTATCATCAACCCGGCAAATTTATGACCATAAGAAGTTCATCATCCCCATTTTTCTAATTTCCTCCTCTTTATGCTTAACCAGCCGCATATGTCTCGCATCTCACGTACTTGCCTCTATCCGCAGAACTAGGAATTTGATTTTAGTTTGTTTGAGTGGGTAGGGGGTTCAGAAGGGCTCCTTATCAAAGATTCGGGGGACACTGAAAGACAGGCTTTTCTTCGAAGTCGCTGAATTCTATAAAAAGAGTGCTCGTTTCGTCAAGAAGGCGACTAATTACACTAAGTAAAATTTTAGTCGTAATGAGAAAATTTTTCGTGCTGTGATAAAATTTTTCTAGCTGGCACAGCAAGAAAAATTCCCCTAATTCGAGCGTGGGCGGATCCAGACACTCAGAGCTCCCCTTACGCCTTCTCCCGAAATTTTTCGAAAGTCCAAAGAAATTAAACATGCAGTTTTGAGTCAATTTAGTCAATAATAATTACCAAATACAAGTGTCCCTCCTTCTTTCCTCCCTTCTCCTCCTTGTATTCGGGCGAACGGAGGGCGGGGCGTACGCCCCCAACGCTCTCCCTGGCCTCGCCTATATTTCGAAATAACTTCCGTTATTCCGTTTAAATTTCGCTATGCGTAATCGAGTGTTTTCTGTACATAGCTAGAGAGCATTTAATCGCTTGTTTCCAACAGTTGTTTTTGGAGTGCCCAACTCTAAAAGATGAATTTCAGAGAAGGAAAGCAACTGGCTTCAACCGAAAACTTGCTGCTTCAATTCCTTAAGCCAAAAGCCCCATAGCTTTAAAAATTAAAAACTTTCCTATCTTCATTATGTACGTGTTTGAAGTTTTTTAAAACGAAGATGCAGAATATTGGTCGAAACAAAATGTGTGCGTAGGTACTACATCTCCATCGCTAAAATACGAATAATTGGGANGGGGGGGGGATGTTAGGAAGACAATTTTCAGATAAGAAGATATATTTCCTCGCCATAATCAGAAATGGCAAAGAAAATATTTTTTCCTCGCGATGATGAATCCTACTTTTCTCTAAAAGAGGGACATTCACTCCTAATTACGATTGTCTGTCTCCGTTTCCATCCAATAAAAATGAAAAGGCTCGGGTACTTAACCGTGCTCCTGAAGACATTCCGTGGCCATTGGCCGGACTCCGTCATGTCTGGTTTTCGCGGTGCCTTGTGTCGGTGACACGACAGTCGGATGAGATCGTCTTAGCTTTCGCATTGTCTCGCTCAAATTAATCGTGTGAAAATGTTAACACGGCAAGGTGACTCAAGGACTTTCATTGCAAAGTTGCTTATTATGAAGGTATCAAGGTCAACCTAACTTCTCTTGCACCCGAGAGAGTCCACGATTTGAAGTCCAGCGCTCACGGCAACGAGAGAAAACAATAACTCAAATCTTTAACACGTGGTGTTTAGGACCTAAGACACTAGGAATTATTAAAATTTAACGGACAGCGCCACATATTTGGGAAAATTAGGGAATCCCAGCTGAAAACCGGAAATTTCCTCCTCTCTGCTCTCAAGGGATCATTTTGTTAATTCCATTTCAGTGGTTCACGTTATTTGACTTCAAAAAATTAGACTAAGAGGATGAAATATTGTTATTTTTCTCCGGGTAAATCTAGTCTCTCTACCAAAATCTGGAATAAATTGGAAGGAAATTCTGGGTTTTCATCAGGAAATTTCCACAAAAAATTGGAAAATCAGGGAAATGAGTGAAATTAAGAATTCTAGATACAATCGTTTGATCAACATTGGAATGATAAACTTAAAGTGGTTTCGACGTGAAAGTTGTCAGGAAGGAAAAAATACGTGAGGAAGATGGTTCCACTAACATAACCTATCCAGTCCTCGATGTGTTACCACAGAATTGTTCGAATTAGAAACCTTCAACCCAAAATTTCAGGGAGAATTTGGCAAAGTTTGGGAAAACTCTCAAAATTCAGATTTATTTTTCCAAGGAATCATTTCACCCGGAATATAATTAGCCTCAGAAGAGCAAAATTATTAAATTGAAATTTCTCTCAAATTGAAAAAAAATTGTCATCAAAAAACGTCAAATTAGCGTGTAGCGATGCCGAAAGCACAGATCCTCGCTTCCGGAACCGAGGAACGTAACAGCATTCCGAAGTTGCGAAATTGACTCGAAACATTCAATTTTTCACGAAAATGTGCCCGTAAAATTTTGTCTAAATTCTGTCTGATCTTTGCATGAGATCAGAAGAAAAATCATTGAAATTTTCAGTTCGAAATACCGACGGTTCTCACAGTAAAAGTGCAATTAGCAAGGAGGAATTTGGCAACATTGAAATGTAGTTACGTTCTTTCATTGTCGTATATGTATTAACAACGATCTATGGTTTCTATGTAAATAGGTCCTTTAGATCTGATTCAATTGCTTATTTCTACTGCGGTGTTAAGGCAGAACGCCGCATGAACATTCGAGAGTTGCCGAATTTCCTACGAAAAGAGTCTATTTTTGAGTGAAGATATGAATATTTTCCCTTGAAGTTTTCAGGAACTTTCAGAGATATTGCGAACAAAATTATCTGAAAAATTGGAAGGCTAATATTACCTAATAAGTTTGCCAGGAAATTCGATTTGAATCAAAGGAGATTTGGCAACGCCTGAAGGTTTATACGACGATTTTTCCGAGCACGGCAGTATAGTTCCATAGCTTATGGCGCACAGTAGAACGAACTATCAGAACAGGTCGGACATTTAGATTTTTGACTAAAATTTCAAATTTGTATATTGATTTCGTCTTAATTTCAATTTCAACGCGTGATTCTGAAAGGAAAAATGAAAAATCCAGTGAGACCACTTTAAAATTTCTTCGTTTCATATTTTCGAAGATATGAGCTTTCTAAGTTTCCAAATGTTGTCAGACTTCTTTAATTGTCTCGTTCCACTGTAGGGTAAAACAAAGGCGGATACCCTCTACCCTGCTCTCCCTCATCCCCTAGAGCGTTACGTACTGTATCGTCACCTTCCAGCCATAGTATCACAAACGCCATGCGGCGTTTCAAAATTTCCGCCGCCATTTTATTTTTTTACAGGGAAATTGTTGGTTGAATCTGTTTGAAAATTTCAATTAATTTTATCGGCAGCACAAAGGAAATTCAGTGAAATTTTCAGACAGATTCAACCAACAATTTCTCGGTAAAAAAATAAAATGGCGGCGGAAATTTTGAAACGTCGCATGGCGCTTGTGATACTTTAGATGATGATAGGTGACGACATGAACGCTCTCAAAAGACTGTAGACACCTTAATGCTGTACGGAGAAAAAAACCTCGTGCGTGGGACCCGAAGTTTAGGTCACATGGATCTCCGAAGTTTTCAGATTGAGCATCTGAACACTTTAGGTCTAATTGTCGAGGTTCGGATCACACATCTGAGACTTCAGTTCTTTCATCTGAAGTACTTCAAATGTGAGAACCGAAGTTTTTCGGATGTGAGAACCGAAGTTTTCCGGATGTGAAAACCGAAGTACCTCAGATGTAAGAACTGAAGTTTCAGATGTGTCATCCAAACCTCAGCAGCTGGACCTCAAGTGTTCGGATGCTCAATCCGAAAACTTCAGAGATCCATATGATCCAAACTTCGGGTCCCACGCACGAAGTTTTTTTCTCCGTGAGATGCGATAGTTCTCTTCTGATTTCCAAAATAAACAATTTCTACGAATTTTTTGTCGCAGGAAATTCTGGGGTGTGACGTGACAGGGTTGACCTCCGTGGAAATTCGACCGTACGAGAACTCGCACAGCCAGTACAACTACGCCCGGCTGGAGTTCAGTTCTCACAGGGACGCTGCCCTCGCCCGCAGGAGGCTCCTGCCCGAGTGTCAAGGGAAATGGGGCAAAGACGCCCACCTCCAATGGGCTCCGATCGAACTCGCCGATTTCCCGCAGCACAACAAGCTCCGATATAATCAACATGTAAGTCCCTTTTGTCAGCTCAAATTTATGTTTGTGTTCTGCAATGTTTGTTTGTTATGTGTCTCCTGCGGGAAGGATTTTAAGAAATAGCAGGAAAATCTAAGACATGCGCGGGAAAACAGGAAAAATTAGGGATAATAGCCATGAATTCGGAAGTCATTGGCCAGGCTGTCCATAAGTCCGGGATTTCCGGAAATGGTACTGATTTTTTAAGGGCGGTTCAGGAGTACTGGAAAAGTGCGGAAATTCCGCAAGGAGCCATTGGCCAGGCTGTCTATAAGTCCGGAATTTCCGGAAATAGTACTGATTTTTTAAGGGCGGTTCAGAAGTACTGAAAGAGTGCGGAAATTCCGCAAGGAGACGTCCGGAATTTTTTTCATTTTTGTCGCGATTTGAGCGAGAAATCCAAATCTTTGAATTTTTTCGAATTTCGTCAATTGGAGGTATTGAAAAAGTACTGAATTTCTCCTGAATATACTGGAAAAGTATTTTAAAAATACTGATTTTTGACCAGCCTGTTTTAGTAGGCACCCTGATAGCAAGCCATCGGCAAAATGTTTGAGGAAGCAGGGAATCGTTGAGAGTGGCAGGGGGTTAGGCTAAAGTGAGAAAGAAAGCATGGGAAACAAGGATCTGTCAGGGTCTCAGGGATACAGGAAACAGAAGAGGGTAGGGAAAGTAGAGAGCCGCCGTGGATAAAACAGTCAGGGAAACCAGGAAATTGTCCAGGAAGACGGAGTATGCGACGGGACGAAGATAAAATCCGGGAAACATTTTTCTACGGTCTCTTTTCAATATTTTATTATAACATCATAGAGCTAGGAATTTTAGAAGGACATTGCTGCCCATAGTATGTAAACACTGTTTTCCGGACCTTTTTATCCTCTCTTGCCCGCCCCTCCTCGTAACGCACCCGTAACGCAGGATTGGCTCCCCTTAATTAAAACGGAACGCTCTGCTCGACCGCCTCACTGTATTTTCACGCAAAATCCCTTAGAAGTTTCAAGTAACGGCTCTTACATTTTAGTAGTTCAATAATTTCATAGTGGTTAACTTGTTTTAATTTAAATGTCTGCTATACTTGTTAGGTACGATCAGTTTTTAAAGTGGCGGTCCTTGCCCGTCATTCGAAAAAAAGCTCAAAGCTCAAAAAGCGTACACATTGTTTATGGAACGCTGAGCACAATTTTCTCAGTCTTTCGCAAAGAATCCATATGTAACCAGTCTTATAGCGTTACAAATTCCATCCCTCTTCGTAAGGAGACAAAGCTCAAAAAGCGTACTAATAGTTACGGAACGCTGAGCAGAATCCTCCTATTCCTTCATGAAAAAATCCACATGTGACCAAACTATATCTGAAGCGTTACGAATTCCATTCCTTTTTAAGAAGATAAAGCTCTAAAAGCGTACAAATTACTATGGAACGCCGAGCTTTATCTCCCCCACCATTCGTAAAAAAGTGTAATATGCGACCAGACAGTGCAGCTTCATGTATTTCAAAGATTATACCAAACAGTGACGTAATTTACGGAGATCGAGTCCACGCAAAAGCTGTTTTCTGAACTTTATTTTTCCCCTGTCAACGGTTCCGGTTTCAGCGCAGCGAATAAACCTAATATCCATAATTGCGTATAATGTCCAGTGCTAGTTCAGTTCAGTCTCCCACCCTCTTCCACCGATGGGAGGTTTGGGGGCCCTCCTCCATAAGTTTTTGCAAATTGAGTTCATCTGAGGTATATTCTGATGCCTGCCCAGCATTTGTTATTCCTGAATTTCATACAAATTCCTAATTTTCTTACCCGCCGTCAAAAATGACCTATTCCTAATCTTGTCCCCGCAGTACGTCATGTCAGTACTTGAAAATTTCACTTCGGAGAATCTTGCTCCTTCATTTGTATCCATCCATATTTTATCTGAGAGAGATCGGGCCGGGAACTCAACTCTTTTCTGCGAGGGAAAAATGCCGTACGAACATTCGAACGCCATTTATTTTTGACGAAAGTGGTGATTATTTTTTTCAAAAAAATGTTTTTTAACTTTAAGACACCGCCAGTCCAATTGCGAGTAAAATTATCTGGAAAGTTGAAAGAAAAAATGCAAGTTTTTTTCTTAAACCGAATTTTCACTTGTATTTCATGAGGAGAAATTTGCTAACGTCCAAAAGTTTACATGGCACTCTTCTGTAGCATGACGGCACTAGGCATGTGAATCGGGCTCGCTTGTGTTGTATACCTCATTTTCTTACCACTGGTTCTTGATTTTTCTCATCTTATCAGCGCTCTGCGAATAGCGTCTTTTTTTCTATCCCGGCGTTTAAGTCTCCATCCGGGAGTCGTAAAATCACCCGCGTTATCTGCTTCTCAGACCAATTCGAGTAAGTGTCGAGTTCGGTGGCTCGAACTCTTTATCAGTTATAGGGTTAGGCGCCGCACGGTGCTCCGGCACGCGTTATTTTTAGACTATCTGGGTCTGGTCTGGTCTCTCACTATTTTCCAGACGAAGCGGCACCTCCTCTCGTTGCCAGATGTGTATTTCTTGCTCGGTTCTGGAATTAAGTTCCTGGATGCGGCCGGCCAGTCGGAATGAGTCAGTTTCCCTGGTCACAGAATCGTGTGTCTTGAAGCTTGATTCCTGCAGATTAACAAAAAATAATAAGATCTGTCCAAACAGCAACTTTCAACGTTTAATATTCACCGGAATATCGCGCTTTGAAAAGTTCGGTTCATGACGTCATCCATTGCCAAAGGCGGATCCGGCAATTTGACAACATTGGATATCCTCCATTTAAACCCATGTTGAATAATCGATTCTTGACGGAGAACGTGGCCCCTCCACGAATCGATACGTTCCCATAGGTTTAAATGGGGAAAAAACCATGTTGCCGATTTGCTGGATCCGTCAATGTCCACCGCGATAGTGACACTCTTGGTTTCTTCCACCTTGCTTTAATTCGAGTTCCACGTTGAGTAATCAGTGAAAATGTACGTCTCCCTGACAAATGAAAGCAAGGAGGTGTTAGAGGTGTCACCACCGGGGCGGATGGATATCAATGAACGAATTTATCAACGCGCGATATTTCGGTTAAGATTGAACGGAGATGTCGCTGTTTAGACTGATCTTCTTATTTTTAGCTAATCCACAAGAATCAAGCATCAAAATACGATTCCATGACCAGCAGTGGCGTGGCGTGAATGATCGATTATCGCTATCTCGCCATTTGAAGCTATGGTAAAGAATCGATTACTAAGGTGTTCGCTGCGAACACCCTGATAATCGATTTTTTTTCATAGGTTTAAATGACAGATCAATCGATAAATCGCAAAGCACGCCACGCCACTGATGACCAGCACAACTAATCCATTATGGATGCAATCTATTGGAAAACCTCGCGACAAACGAACGATCATATCTACTAAACGAACCGAACAAATTTCCATTGGTCAAAATTAATTCCCAAGATCAATAAAGCTTCTAAAGTTGAGCTTAGGGTGGAGGAGCATGTCTGCTCCGTGAAGTATCTATATTCGTAATTTTTGACACCGGATCAACTGCAGTGAGCATTTTTGAGCCTACGAGTTGGTTTCAGAGAAAACTAATGACAGAATTTTTTAGAAGAGAGCAAAGTTCACGTAAAATCAAGTTTTCCGCGGAGGGAATTACCGTTTTAAGATTCAGACGCTACAATTTTTTTTTTCTTGATAAATTATAAATTTTGGGGGAGAGCTGGGAATATATTTCCTTGAAACTTTCAGGATTATCAAATGAAATTGAGCGCAAAAAACCATCTGAAAATTCATGAAACAAGAGCTTGAAAGTCTTCCATGAAGATCGCATTTTAATAGAAGGAAATTTGGCAACGCTCGAGATTTAATGCAGCAGTTTTCCTAAACGCTTCAGTATGGATATCCGAGCATAGGACAATGAAATCGATGATACTGTCTTGATGCAACTATTCGTGCTCTATGGATAGCCGTGTTGCATGCATACTAAAAATTGAAGGCGCTCCGGTCGTTCTCAACCACGAAGCAGCTCTCGCAGTGGCACGCTACCGACACGACTCGGTGTGTTGGTGGGATATACTATTCTCATTTATGAAATAAGGGTATAATTAGAAGATCAATAAGTTTATAAATCAATAAGGAATAACGGCTGTGAAGAAATCCTCGCAGGATGCAAAGTATATTGACTTCCTGCGTTATTTGAAATCCGCCACTTTTCTATACTTTCGTTAAAGTCTCCAGCAAATTTTAGTTCATGGTGATTTGTAAAAGATTTACAGAGCGTCGATCTTAAAGGTGCCTGTCAAAAAAGTGATTTCCCTCAAATCTGTCCAAAGCGAAACCTTATGATGAGAAAATTCTCCATTGTGAATCGTACCTCGAGTTCAAAGCTCGTTTTTGGCAAACCAGCACTCCAAAGTTTTCATTTTTAACGATTAAGAAAGCCGATATCTTGAAATTGTTCGATTCGAAAAACAACTTGAACCGCGGCCTTTTCTATTTTCTGGGGCAAGATTTCATCAGTTGATGTTACTCGGGGATTGAGACTGTAGTTGATATTATACCATCTAGCGATCATTCGTGTTACAGCGTTGCAAAATTTTTAAAACATTTCCCGGACCACCCGTGGCAAGCTTGGCTGCCGCCAAACAGAGTGTGCTTCAATTCGTAGCCTGCCGTAGGAAGGAACGTTACTTTATTCCAAGGTTGCGAGGTTGACTTGAAACACTCTATTTTTGACGAAATTGTGCTTTTACAATTTTCGTTCAAAAAATTTGAATGCATTTGAACGTCTCCTTTTTGTATGCGGATCAGAAGAGCAATCAGTGAAATTTTTAGTTAGGATTCCTCCAATTTTTCTTGGTAAAACTGCAATTTGCGAGGGGAAATTTAGCAAGATTCAACTTAGTTACGTTCTTTCGTGAGGAAACGACGAATTGGGCCCCACCCACGCACACTGGACCGAGTCAATAGAAGAAGTCGGACGAACGAAACTTTGAAAGCTTATTTTTTCGAAAAAATGAAACAAATAAGTTTAAATGTTGTTTCATTAATTCATTAGTTACTTTGTGAAATTTCCTTTCAAAAACACCCCTTGAAATAAAATTTGTGACAAAATAAACTTCAAAATTTGAAATTTTAGCCATAAATTTCATGTTTGACCTCTTCCATTAGCTCGTCCCACTGGGCGACGTCATGCCGGAATCACACGCTGAATTTGGCAGAATGGCAGCTGATTATGGAAGTCAACAGTCATCGCTCAACGGCTGAAACTCCGCACATTCGAGTTATTTTCATCCAAATTCGTATCAAATCTATTCGAATAGTTCAGACAAATCCGATATTATCCGACGGTCACTGAGCAGCGTTGCTGAATTTTGCGCGACACGCGCGAAATTCAGTCATCGGACCGATGACTTCCACTTTCACGCCACATTCAGCTCCCCACGTTCAACGTACGATTCCGGTATAACGCATTTTTTCCTCCTGCACGGAGAAAAGTACTTCGTGCATCGGATCCGAAGTTGAGGTCATATGGATCTCTGAAGTTGAGAACTGGAGGTCCAACTGCCGAAGTTCGGGTCAGACATCTGAAGTACTTCGGTATGTACTGGCGCACTTCAGATGTGTGATCCGAACCCTCCGGTATATACCGAAGTACTTCAGATGTCTGACCCGAGCTTTGGCAGCTGGTCCTCAAGTTTTCGTATGCGTGATCCGAAAAGTTCAGAGATCCATATGACCTCAACTTCAGGTCCCGTGCCCGAAGTTTTTTACTCCGTGTGATATTGTTTTTGGCAATTTTCCACCCGGCAACGCCGCCAGAAGCCGGGTTTGAATGAAACTTCTTCTAGGCCCGACATGTCCCGACCGCCCGACCGTCCGGATGCGTGGAGCGCACGCACGCACGTGCAATCGCGAATTTGCGAACCGACCGATCCGATGAATTTCCAGGAACCTAGAGCCCCTCGCCCAGCCCCAGCCCTGGTGGCCGACGCCGACTTGCGCCTCTCGCCCCTGCGCTACTCCGAGGTCCCGACTTCCCGACCCCGAGCCGCGATTTTGAGTTGCCGTTGCCGCCTCCCCCCCGGTGGTGTCCGGTTCGGCGCCGTGCCGGGCGATAAAAAGTCTTGCCGGCAGCTTCTGTGTATTTGAGAGGCACGGTTTCGACATGCGAATGCCTCTAATATGACACCTGGGACACTTATCGGTTATCTCAAGCTGTGTAAGGCTCATTGCATTGACCGGCTTTGATTTGATGCTTTGGCGGAATAAAAGGTGGTCAAACCAACAGGTGGCGCGTTCGTCCTTACTTGATGATCCAATTCTGATCCTATCGTATTCTCAGACGCTGCCAGGTTGGCCTAGCGGTCAGCGCGCCTGACTCTAAACCAAAAGGAGCCGGGTTTGAATGGTTCATGGGATACCGCTAAATCCATTGTAAAGCGCGCTAATAAAAAGCGTGTGTATGCATGCGAGCGGCATCGAAGTGTCTGCATCGGAAAGGAGTGAACTCTTGGAAGTCCAGAAGAGTGAGATATCCGAGCTGTGTTTATAGTGCAACCTTTCCGACGATTTGCGCCAGAGCCAATTAATTACCATTAGTTTTATTGATTATTTGCTGCGAGCGCCAGGTGGGACCAGGAGCAGACAGTGGCGATTCTTGAAAGTTGGCAACACTGCTTGTCCTCTATCTCAACGTATGCAAAACAATCGATTCTTCGTGAGGCAATGTCTCATCTAATATCGATATTTTTGATGGGTTCAAATGGAGGAAATACAGTGGCACCGACTCACAAAATTACCACCGAGTGCAAACAGGAGACGCTCGACGTTTGACTACCAGCAGTTCTGTTGTCAGTTTGTCACAAAATAATGCGTAGAAGTGCTCGACGTCTGCGATGTAAGTTGAGGAACGTCGCTGTTTCATTTCACAGACTCAGTTGTAGTTGCTCTTAAGCGAGGTTTCCTTAGAAACGCGCTGCTTTTTACATAAAATCTCAATTAATTAAAAGCGGGTACCGCGTGTTTATCAACACTTAAAATGGATGTAGTCCCAGCGAAGGTCTTTATTCAGCCTCATAATCTCCAGAAAAGTCAATAACGCTATGTTGAAATTACTGCAATGATATCAGTGTATGCGTCTGTTACCGTGCAAATGGAAGTGTTGAGCATCATACTTAATGCATGATCGCGGCGATATATTTTTTTTTAAAAACCCGAATGACCAGGAATTTCTGCAAATTTCGCCGTTTCTCTCATAATTTTTCCGCATTTTTTTCAAGGTACGGAAACAAAGAGGGGTGGTGGCTACTGAATCTCTGATAATACATAATCCCCTGGAATTTTAGTAGGCAGCACTAGGTTTCTGACAGTGCTGATCACGCGACTGGTTAACATAAGCATATCCAGACACTTTGAATGGGAGAATGGGCGAGGGGGGCTACCCTCAGAAAATTTTAAAAATTTTAAAGCATTTAATGTGCAATTTAAGCCAATTTCGTCATGAATAATTACTAAATCTGAGCATCCTTTCTGCTTCTTTCCTCCGTTCTTTCCTCCTTTCTTTCTTTATTTCTTTCTTTCATTCTTCTACTACTACTTCCTTCCCTTTTTCTTCCTTTTTTCGGGTGAACGGGGCGTTGGTTTATGCCCTTTACGTCCCCCCTTTGGATCCACCTATGCCAATAAACGTAAGTAGATGTTTAATTAGCACGTACAGAAATTTAGCCCTCGTTTCCAGATTTTTTGGGGATTATGTGTAAAAATGAAGTTGGTAACCACTAACATCATTTTTTATCCGTGATTCTGAAAAAAACACTCCGGCCGTGGAAGCCGTATACTTACGAGCTATAAAGACATACTGTCCGCGCTCCGAGCTTATACAGGCCGAAAGTTCCGGGCGAAGCACCCGGAGCACCCGAAGTTACGGCTGCAGCACCCGGAACTTTCGGCCTTTAAGTCCCGAACGGACGGTATGTCTATATAGAGCCCGTCTTTTTTCCGTGTGTACGATGCACACCGTCGTGTCACCGGACTTCCCGCATGCCCTTAAATCATCAATAATCATCGATCACCCAGAGAGCAGGTGATTCGACAGTGTTTATTTTCCAAGTGCAGTAGCGTTAGCTGCCAATCCCCCCTCATTATCCAGTCAACTGTGGCACCCATCGAAGGCGCGTGTAAGTACCTCCGCGCTCACCCTCTCGCCTCGGGCCCCGATTAAGCTGTATCCCATCTCCGCTGGCCCTGATTCGACGACTAATAACCTGAAATAAAGGAGCGGAACAGCGCGGCGTTAGGGGCACTTGATCTCCAGTGAAAAAAACCTCAGCGCCTTACTCGACGGTTGACATTGGGAATAACTACCTGCGTTACATCACCCCGGAGGCGGGGGCGGGGGACGGTCCCATCTGTAATTATGCCCGCGCGGAGTGGTAAGGAGACGGGACTCATTTACCATGTGAAATAGGTCTTCAATTATCGCACGCATCTGGTTACGGCGCTGTCGCGTTTCGCGTCGAGTCGGGCCGTGCATGATTTACAACTGGACGGCAGAGCACACGGGATGGTCGCGCGAACGAGCGTTTGGCACTGCGGCGCGGCGCACGGTGGAGCGAGTCGGTGGGAGAGGTCGGACGAAATTTGGAAACTTTAAAAGCTTTTAACTTCCAGGGTTGCCACAGTCAGGGAATACCTGGAAATGTCAGGGAAAACGTGGACATGTCAGGGAATTTTAAAAAGTCACGGATGTAAGGGGATTTTAAAAAGTCAGGGAAAACCTGGAAATGTCAGGGAATTTCAAAAATTCAGGGAAAACCTGGAAATGTCAGGGAGTTTTAAAAAGTCGGGGAAAACCTGGAAATGTCAGGAAAAATGACGAAAGTGTCAGGGTAAAAATTGTAAATTTAGCTTTTTAGAATGGATTTCGACGGTGCAAGTCGGCAATCACATAACTCGTTTGCGGTGTCTGAAAATCTCCGCAACTATGTTATTTTTTTAAAGGAGAACAAATGGACGTGATTCCTTTAAGTTTTTGCAGAATTTTCCTCGCACATAGAAGAAAAATCACGGCAGTTATAAAGAATTACCGTTGAGTAGTTTTCCGTTTAACAAGTAAAGTATGACAGGAAGTCTGCGACGTCGCAAACCGAGTTATGTGATTGCCGACTTTCACCGTCGATTTGACGTTTAGAACAACACATTTTGCCATGGAAACCATTTCGAATTATGTCTTTTTTTCCATATCGCATGTTTCATTTGTCAGGGAATTTTATTCAAATGTGTCTGGGAAATCAGGGAAATGTCAGGGTATTTCATTTCCTAAATTTTGTGGCAACCCTGAGCTCCGTTCATAATACACAACTTTGAGGTTTTAAAAGTGGTTCCATCGGTTTTCTCGTGATATTTTCTTTCAATGACACTTCTTAAGCTTTAAAATTTGAAGACTTAAACATTAAAATATGCGGTTTTAGTGATGAAAAATTTTATGTCCGATCTCTCGAAATGACTCGATCCACTGTGCGGCGCGGCGGCGGAGGACGCGACTCGCTCGCTTCTTCGTGCACTCGGAGCGCGCTCGAAGCACGAGCCCAGATTCGTATTATTTTCATTCTTCGGCTTCGAGCGCATCGATTGTTTTCCGTGCCTCGCTGTCAAATTTTCGTCAAAATTTTCTTGACTGAGGTTCGGCATTAAACGGCAGCAGCGGGCTGATCGTTGAAATTGATAGACAGAGCGATAAAAAAAGAAGACATAAGGAGTATGATGCGATCCTACACTGGAACAAAAAACACATTGGATCTAGAGTCTTGGCTCTTAAAAACATGGACAAGAAAAAGTACTCTTGATTCCATCAGAATCTAGCTTAAATCAAGAACCAAGCCTCATAATTTAAGAAGATTTCGTTTTGATTCAAGCTAAAATCCGATTGAATCAGAAGTGGAAATTTCGTCCATTTACCAGAAGTCAGCGTTTTTAAAAAGAAAACAAAATCTAAGCAGAAATTTTCGTCAAAGATTTTGATTGTCGAGAAAAGATCAGAAAAAGTCATGGAATTCGGAAATTTTGGAGCCAGGGGAAAGTAAATTAAAGTCGAGAATTCGAGAAATGAAGAAATTTTGGAAATAACTATTGATAATGCCACGTTCACACGTCAGATGTCTTGACTTGAAAGTCGGACCAAGCGCAGTTTTCATAGTCAAACTAGATCCCGTTCTCCAAACAATTGCTTTCCAAAACTTTTAGCAGTCATATTAAGGCGAATCTAA